CAGTTTATGAAATTAGTTGATCAGTAAGGAACTAGCTCAACATGACCTTGATTCCCTAGTCACAAATTCAGGAGCCCTAAACGGTCTCTACACTTCTGATCCTCTCCATGTGTCCTTTCTTGAGCAGTTCTTGAAATTACCTGTAATCACCGCTGACAGAGCCTTCTGTAGAAGGAAAGGGCATGGACTGCTGAGCGAATTGATCATCATGCAGTCTTTGAACAGCTGTCCTTAAGACCTTCGTCATAGCTTTAGCAACACGCTTTCCTTCTTCACCTGTATCAGCTACCGTCCCGTTGAACATCGTTTGCTCGAGCGGGGCCAATAAACTCTTTTTTCGTTCCTTTTACGGGATTAAGTAGCCCAGAGGATCGTCCCCACTCAGGAACAAGAAACATATCATTCTTTTCGATCAGAGCTTCTTTGAATAAGTCTGACCATCAAGGTGGTGATCGTTCTGGTGTCCATTGAACGTCCCAAAGGGCTCTTTCCGTAGCTCAACCCAGTATATCGTTTTTCTTCTTACCATCCGTAGTTCGAGCCGGCGTATAAAGGACCAGAAACTGAATGTTTATTTTCTGAAGCAATCTGATGCCTTATCATTCCATCTTATCATGATTCATCTACTTCATAACTGTGAGGTCACCCATCGATCAGCTTCTGAACACCTGAATCATTATTGTTTGGCACTTCCCACTCATTTTCAATAAGGGAGAACAATTGATGATCAATCAGTTTTTCCCCTTCCGGCTAGAAAGAAGTCAGTCGTCGGGTGATCGCCAGAGTGCAGCTCACAGAAGTTCGAAGAAAATATGAAGGTTTCAGTCCACTTTCATTTTTTACTCTAAAATTCCTATGACCTGATGTTTTGCTAGACGATTTTTCTTGTAAGGTGGTTCAGAATCAGCGATCCCATCGCTGATAGACGAATTTTCTAGTCTGCACCTTACGACGGCGTTTTTTCTTCAGTAAAAAAGGCTGTAGTTGCGGCTGTTTCAAGGTCATCATCCTTACCCCCACCAGAGTAATTTTCAACTCAGCCTTTACGCCTCGCCTGAACGTCTGAGCAAGACCTCTTGCTATAAGTTTTTCCAAGGCTGTTGATAAGTTTACCACCTGATTCGCCAACATATCAGCTTCTGCCTCACTCCAGCTCCTCTCAAGATGAGAAAACAGCGTCTACGATGGTAAGGATACCTACTGAGAAAACCACCCGATCATCCAAGAAGGGAGGCAATGGGGCTGGAGCTCATGAGTAGCGACCTGAAGCCCCAATGAAGAGGTGGCGAATCATGATTTAGAAGGACGTCGCGGAAACTACAGTAGCGGCAGAAGATGCGGTGGAAACGGTTCACAAGAATGACGGACGGACTTTGCGACGGCTCGGAATCAACGCTAGAGAGAAGAAATGTCAAAATCGGCCTTGACAGAACTGTTCTGCCTCAGCTTTCCCGTCGAGGGTGCATCCTTGACAGGTAGGCGTTCCACAAATTCTCCAGTCTACCCCCCAAAAGTGCCCACTCTCACTTATCAACAGTTTTTCTTACTTCCTTACTTTCCCTCGGCATCAGCACCGTCATCTTTCCCTGATACACAACGTCATAAGGTCCCTCACACATCTGTCTGTCACCTTTGCTGTCCATTTCGTAATTTTTTACTTTCGAACATTTTGCGTTAAGTAGCTCCAANGGAAACATTCGCTTCGTGCATTCAAGTTTTCTAAATTTGATTAATAGAAATTTTTATTATCAAGTAGTCATAAGAAAAACAAAAACTTTGTTTTATTCCAATTCGTAATATTTCACCTCATTTGATTTTATTTTCGAAGAATATTATTTTTCATTTCTATTCATTAAAGGATAAAGAATAAAGTTTTCGATTATATCCTTTTCTTGTGGGAAATAAGCCGCGCATTCGATTTTCTCGTTTTACTTATTATTTACATTTTCTTTACCTTCGAGTGAGACACCAAACACTTTGCCCTTTTTCTTCTTTTTGAGGAGTTCTTCATTTCATTGGACTTTTTTCTTGAGTTGAGGAAATACGTGGGGAGCATTACGATTTTGAATTTTCCGCAAGTTGGTTGGCAGCAGCAGCGGATTTGTGTCGAGTCAAAGTTATGTTAGTCGTACGACATTCCAAGCTCCAAACGCTGGACATCGACTAATTCCCACTCTACGCTTCCTTTTATAGCAAACCATGCAGAAAATTAATGCTAATCGAATATTTACAGCGTCTGGCATGCATTGCATTCTTGGCCTGTTGATTAATGTTAATTTTGTAGAGGCAGCACAAAGACAGGTACAACACGAAGACGCATCAAGAAATCTTATTAAGACCGGTATGGGAACAATATGGGTGGCCCTTCTAAAAATCGCCTATCCATCCTTGATTTATTATTAGATAACTTTGGGCCTATCTTGGATTTAATGAAGTACCGATAGCTATATTTTGATTTCCTCATTAACTCTTGAAACGCTCTTCGACCGTTCTTTACAAAAATCGATAAACAGAATCAATATCGATCGAAGGCGGCAATCGGAGTCCGGTTCATTCTCGACAAACCTCGAGACTTCTTTGGCTGTATAACTCTTCTACATACTCCGTCTACGTCGGACGACTTTCCTTCTGACGATCACCACTTCCTCGCATTATCGAAGCTATCACAGAACAAGCCGCTTACATCTCGCAGATAATCCGATAGCTCAGTATATGCCCTCAGAACTGCTCCATGGTAAATCGCTATACTATACGTTATAGTTAGCTCGATCCAGTACGAGTCCCCTCTTTTCAATGTAATCGTTCATCCCATGAACTCCTTGATAGCAGTGTACAGGGTGACCCACATGAAGTGTGACGGGCAATAAAAAAATCAACTTTTGGGCTTCTGGGCTGGAGGAAGCTGTGATCACTTGGGTGGAAAGGAACGCGATGAACGTCAGCTGAACCTCCCACAGGATTGGGCCCCAGCCAACAGCACAAAGAAGATGCTGCAATGTTGTGAAACCTCGCTTCCGGGTTTTTGGGGCGAAGCAGTTTTGACCTGCAAACTCCCCGATCTCAATCCTTTGGATTTTGGTGTATAGTCGACTCTGGAGCAAAAAGCCTGCGCTTCCAAACACAGGTCTTAGGAACCTCTGAAAGAAAGTGCTCTTGTAGAAACATGGGATGAAAGTGATTGCGCGCATTCTTGAAAACTTCCGAAAGAGGTTGAATGCTTGCATTAAAGCGAAGATGGTCATTCTGCATGCAAGATGTGATATGTTGTTTACAATTTTGTGATGATTGTATAAGTGTAACAGTTTCCTATTTGGTTTGATCTGTATAGTTTTGATGCTAGTTTTCTGCGTCACACTTCATGTGGGTCACCCTGTAAACGGCAGTTATTATTTCGGATAACTAAAACTTCAATCTGTTTCTCTTTTCACATTTTTCATCTTAATTTTTCTGGGAAAGGCAGACTGTGGGTTCCCTTGGTTCCTTTGAACTCCTTTCTTGAACGCCTCTCATTATCTGTTCCGATTTCTGAGGCGACTCTTTCACCATCGCACGTCTGACTGCCATATTCTTTGCCCTTCACACACTTTTTTTTTCCATGCCAGCGTGATTCGTTGATTACCAGTTTAGTCCACAGAGTAGTTTGCCTCACACAACCTGCCTAATTTTTCTAGGCAATTCTGTTTAATAGGAAGACGTCCGAAAGGCCCCCGTTTTCACTTAAGAGCGTATTCGAGAAATCCTGTCGTGCGGTTAGCCAGGATAACCGGCAAGACAGATTCACGCCTCTTCCCTGCTCCTCTGTATCCTGGCACGGCGACAGCGTCCTACCGTATCCTATTAGATCTTCTTGGTGATTTCAAATCATATTAAGCAGTAAACAGCATTACTGATTCCCAATTTGTTGTTGTTTATTTTACTTTGTATCGTCATATTACTATTCAGCAGTGGAGCTATAGCACACTTACACGTGCGTGACAATGGAAACGCCTCTGGTTGGAGCCACAGAGCTCTGGTCCCAGCTCCATCCACCTCAGCCCACGCTCCTCCTCTATGAACACTTAGCCGCTCTTTGTTTAATAGCCTTTACTCACGTTTTTGTCAGTCGTAGACCACCTCCGAGCAGAATAATGAATTTTTGCTCATAGCTCCGCTCATTGAGGCTTGCTCCACCCACCTTTTGCAATTAGCCAAACATCCTCTGGTGATCTTGAACCTTTTTCCCGGATCCTATAAATCCGTAAAGTTTCCAAAGAAGTTACGATTTTTTGTTAGATCCACACCTTCCATCAGCACACCTCTCCCATCGTGATCGATCTGAGCTTTGCTTGATTTAACCTGCCTAGCGCAACTTTACCCTGCTCTTTTCCACCTTTTTTGCTGATCTTCACAATTCCATGGAATCCAGTCATGATTGGTTTTAAATAGCATGTACTCTGGAACTCCTCTTTTACCGCTCCCTATGCTCATTTTCTTCCAATTTCTGGGCTGTTTTGAAATCATGTCAGGAAGCCATTCATGTCCCGCTCTCTCAAGGCGGAGCTCCGCCAAGCTCATGTACTTTTCTAAATTTGCTCTACGCCCTACCCATCCTGAACTTATGCCTACCTCTGCAGGTGGTTGTTCAGATAGTGCCAAATTAGAGTTGAATTTACAGCCAGACAGGCAGATACAAGGGTTACGATCACGCTTCTGTTCGTTCTACTTGTCTGAGATAATCTCAAATCTTCACAATTTAATAAATCTGCTTGACGTTGCTCTACTGGACTAGCTGCACCATAGACCTCTTTTAACCAATTTTTGCTTCAGTGTTTTTTAATGACAACTTCATGACGACTTCCTAATTCAGAAGAGCTGTGATCCAATCAATAAATTGTTGTTGGAATTCTTTAATCTTCAAACGATTATTGTGCATACCTAACATTATTATATATCTTGACGTTCTCCGGCTTCAGCTCTGACCAGATCGAGTTTCATTTATGAAATGTACGAATTCCAGCAATATGGGGGCGATGGCACAGCTCCGGCTGTTGCTGTGGAAGAACTGGCTGCAACAGATTCGATCACCGATATTCACATTAATGGAATTCCTTATTCCACTGCTTTTGATTGCAGTCAGTTTCGGGCTCATGATTGGGGTATGTTTCGGTAATACATTCTTTTAAGTTTTCGAAACTTTGAATGGAATAGGGTGATTAGGCTTTTCGTTCGCTTCGACTGTCCCAAAAGCAGCTTTTAAACGGATCCCGGCAATAACTTTCGATGAATCCGTTGAATGATAAAGAGAAGGGCCTCAGAATAGACTAGGGACAGGGCCTTCAAAATATAATAGTTTCATCAGCCCATAGAAGGTCATGTTTTCCATTGAAAAACCTGAGCGGAATTTTTGTCCTCAATCAGAGCAAGTTCAACTACTGGTGCAAGCTTACAATGTAAGCGTGATTAGAATCCAGAGGCGTGGGCCTATGCGAGTGGTTCCACAGTTCCTCACCTCACAGTGCTGCCTGCTCTTTATTATCATGTGAAATTGTCAAGGCCAAGACAAACCCTAAATCCATGTTTATTGAATAAAGCCCTGTCGGGGGAACAAAGTTACAGTAAAATTTACATTAGTAGGTATGTGATGCTAAAGAGGGTAACGGAAAGGGCAAAGAGGCAGGGAGTAGGAGCAGATGAGGGCAAAGGATCACTCCATTGTTTCCAACGTGAAGGCACCAAGCAAGAAAATTGTGAACCAAAAGAGAACATGCATTTTCTCACTCCACTCAATCCATTTCCACTTTGCCTCCGTTGAAAGTTACTCGCTTGGGGACAGACATACTGGAATGGGCAACAGGTGGCTGGTTCTGAGAAACCAATGCGCCTGTTTGGGATGAAAAAAGGACCTTTTGGAGCTGAGAAACATTTAGCAGAGAGATGGGGGTAACTGAACGACGCACAATACTGCGAGAAATAATCTTTCAAGCACTTCTAACGGATCAAAGTTGAGAATTGTTTTCAGTTGAGAGGAAACTACGAGAAAGATCATCGGCAAAAGAACTATCCAGAATGGCCAGTGATGGGAAGCGCATGGGATCTTATCATGCCGACCAATGTGTCACGACCGGATGTGAGTTCCTACGTTAATATTTGTAGACATTTGGTTCTATGGGATTCATAGGTCAAAATGGGTGGTATTAAGAAAATAAAAATTAGGGATTTCCAAGAGAGCGAGCGGGAACACATCTTAGTCCTAGTACTGACACCATTATCAAAAGAAGGCTGGTAAACCTCTCTTAAATGCTATCCCACCACCATTCAGACTTCACAGGGCTCTTATGAAAAGTCGGAAACTGAAGTTAGCCTTCCCTTCCATTCCGCAAAAATGGCTAAAAGACCTGAATATGACCCCATTACCAACAACACTGCATTATTAGCTGGAACTACATATGCACTTCATCTGTCGGAATGGATTGAGTAATCTCTTGGTATCCTTAGTTGTAATGCCATTGGACCAAAAATTTCAGTCTGCAATTCTTGATCCAACCGGTATATTGACGAACACAACACCTGAATGTGCTTTTCTTGACGTGAAGAAGCTGAACGACGGTGGAGTTTTACTGAATATTCAACTCATTTATGCACCCATCACAAATACGACAATGAAGATCATGGAATTGGTGAAGGTAAGTAGGTTGTTGTCATCATGGTCGTTTCAGTAAGGTGCGAGAACTGAATAAAGTTAAAAAATGTCAAGTAAAAGAGCGACCTCTGCTTCCTAGAGTGTTGTGCTTCATTGTCTCTTCACGGAACAAACTGGAGGGGGGTCATATACATAGAAAAGCACAAATGAAGCTACTTGCATGCCCAGATGGGCAATCATCTACGCCTAATCTAATCAACTACTTCTTCTCCATCCGTGATCGATATGACGTCCATATTGAGAAGTTGTACCAGAAAATTTACCAACATGATTATTTAAACAAAAATTTCATACTCAAAAGCAACCTCAGGCACTGATGTATCCGCTGAGTATGTATCTTGAGCTTATGATCCTACCCTTTACTGCTTAACCTTTAGTTACAGTAATCGCTTTCAGAAGAATGTTATCAAGCGGTCGAGCTTATTCATGCAATTTCAGAATCGATACACAGCACTAATTCCGGGGTCGATGTTCGACTTTGATGCACCGGGCATGCCTGCGTACTTCCAATCGAATATGTCTGTCAACGGTAATTTTTGTATGTATTCAAATTGGTATTTGAAGGCACAATTCACGATAGAAATGGTTTCCCAATTCTCCCACTAGGAGTATCCAGTGGCCTCCAAGGGTAACAGGAAGGACACTATGTCCTAGCTGTCGAGTCCCAAAACTCAACAGCTAGGACATAGTGGGTGCCCCGTTACCGGATCGCCCGGACTTCCCGCCCCTCGACCATGTCACGACAGACGAGTGTCGAGGCGATACAGATTGCAATATTCGCTCTAGGACCCGCACACAATCAGCTGATCGCCGAGTTATGAGACGATGTTTTTCTCCCATACTTCTTTCCTCTTTCTGCTTACCGTAGTCAGCTATTCGCGCGAGGTCCCACACGTACACAACGACACACATTGTAGCTCTTCCAAACGCCCCATTCTTCTTCATTTTTTTGGTCTCATTCAGCCCCCTATTTGACGGTTTTTTGAAGCCTTTTTCACTTTGGGAACACCGATTCACGCATTCGCCTTATCTCACTATTTTCCATCTGGATTACCCAAAACTGTCGTGAGCTGTGCCTTTAATTACCACGTTTAATTTATTTTGCCTTTATTCGTCTATAGAATCCACTAGTTAACCCATTTCAGGATTCAACACCGAAAACGACATGGTGGAGTATGCGAAGGCATCGTTCTCGAATCAATGTGGAAATCCTTTGCTAGGTAAGAGGTGGACGATTGTGTTAATCATTTCCAGCAGAGAAAAAGAAAAGGAAAGCATTTTGAATTGTATTTAACTCTTGTCCTTCTTATTCATGCTCTCATAAGGAGAAATTACAAACAGAGCACAGCCGTGAAATCAATCTACTAACCTTTGCAAGAATGTCTTCAACAACCTCTCATAATACCATTCTCGTGCAGCTTGTTCTGCTGGGATCCAATTTCTTTTGCGTAGATCAGTCCCGCTTCAAAATCCTGCCCACGTAGTTGGCTTCCATTCAAAGTCGCATGGGCGATTGAATGCGTATTTGACCCCAGTTCATCAACATACAGTGGTCAAGCAAAGAACTAGTCCGTGCCTTCACTCCCAAGACGAGTCTGGTACCAGTTCACCGATCCCGAAGGGACCACGTCTATTCGGTCTAGTCGAATAGCGAGGGCAAAGGGTGCGGTACTCGGAAAAGTCATGGAAATAAAGAGCGATTGAAGAAGAGGGGTTTGCACCATTCCCTGACTGGGTAAGTGCTGTGGCTAGTGAAACGGTGCAAATGAAAATGTGAAAAGGCAGCTTACTCCAATTCGGGGTCAACTATATCAGAATCCCTGGTTTTCAAAATCTAATTCGAGATGAACTTTTTAGCATTGAAGTTTTTCTTAACATATTTTGGAGTTTTTCAGAAGTGGTTTCTCTAAGTAGCTGATCAATAATCATCATCGCTTACTCTACTTGGTTCCTTTACTTGGTTTCAGCTGGAATCACATTTGATGGTTCTGTCGCAAATCGAATTCAAGCCGATACCACGCTCGGCTACACGATTCGATTGTCGAATACGAATCGCCGCAGTAAAGGAGTGAGTTCTGCTAACCATTATCTATTCCGTTAGGCATTTGCCCTGTTCAGGCTACCGGATCAAATACCTACACTCCATGGAATACGCATGAAGTCTTCGCAATACAGCTCATCAGTGGACCAATTAACCCATCGGAATCCGACGGAGGTTATCCGGGTGCGTCTATAGTTTTGCTGGTTTGTGTTTTGAGCAGATATCCAGTGTCTAGTCGGAATCATTGGTACCAACGGTCAATGGAAGGGGTCAGGAAAGGGAATACTCTGCGTAGAAGTTGGAGGTAATCTTCCATGTGCATGTCCACCGTTACTACCTTCATCGAAAGTAACAAAATATGCTGTGCAAAACCAATTACCCCCTGTTTTTTCTACAATTGAGTGGTATTCTGATCACAAGCTGATCATAGAACTTTTCGCATTCTCGAGAATGTGGGGCATTTCTCTCACCTTGGGCGGGTGATATTGGACTGAATCAGCTCACGGTAATTCCGAAGTAGTTGTCTCTCTAACTTTGCCTTAGTTAGCTGCCATTGTAAGGTGTCTCGTGGCGCGGCATTGTTCAGTCGGGTCCGGGAACTTCTCCCTGAAAACGGCGTCGAGCACGCCGCACCCGCCGCGTACCGCAGGATTGCAATGGCAGATTGGAGCGCGCAATGAGTTAGGGAGTACTTTAATTATTTGAATTGGCTTACCGTTCTCTTCAATTTCAATGCAGTCTTGATCGCCTTACATAGGACAAGTCATTCTAATTAATCAAGTCTAGTAAATATAAAAGTGAAAAAGAAATGGATAAAAAACGATCAAAACGAATAAAAAATAGAGTCATCAAACGAAAAATATTGCGTCATATCGATTGACGGGGAGGCGGGGGGAGTCCGCTTTTGTTTCCCGTCTTGATAGCATGAATCACAGCAGTGAGCGTGTTGTTCCACTTCGGCCTTCTCAGGCTTTTACCCTCAAGATGAGATGGCTGACAAACGCGAAACCTTACATATGGAAGGACCGCAGCGCCCAAAACATTTTTTGAAAAGTAAATGGTAGGCACCTGATTAGGGTTGCAAAATAGAAATGGCCTTCTGATTGTTTGGCCTGAGAGAAGTGACCCCACTGATAACCAGTGTTCACTCTTTACCGAGATTTCAACGGATTCGCGGAGTCGAGCTTATGTTCCTTTTCCAGGCTATTGGAAGGAAGGCTTCATGACCGTACAAAAAGCTGTGAACAATGCTATCTACGAGATTCTCACAGGACACCACATAGACCTCTTCAATACAGATTTAATGGTGAGACCTATTCGTACTCTCTCTTTCAAAGGAAGGAATCGGAAACATGACAAACCCAATAATAATGTGTGGGCACTCAACATCTACACGGTTCAGTATGGGAGCCGGGTTAAGGTCGATCAGACGATTATTCCCCGAAAGACATCTAGTCAGGCTCGCTCTTCTCGCTTAACTGTGCTGAAAGCTGAGTTGTCAACTGCAGAAATCATTATACGGTATGCTTTCAGATAGGCCGTTTTCCATTCCCGGCGTATAGATCAAAAATCATCGAAATCGGAGCTTTCTTCCTTCCAGTCATCGTTGTCTTCTCCTATATGACTAGTGTGATCTATATAGTAAAGAGCGTAGTAATGGAGAAAGAAGCGAAATTGAAGGTAAGCCAAATCCGATGTCTCCCAAAGTTGTAGGTCGAAAACGGAATGGGGATCCCTACGTTATAGCTAACGGACCCAAGAAATCAATGGACTTAATAAAAGTTTATTTCGTTTGTCAACTGATCAAAATATGTTCAGGAATACATGCGGGTCATGGGCCTGAGCCAATGGATTCATTGGGTTGGCCACTTTATCGTCAACTATATCAAGCTACTCATCTCAGTAATTGTTTTGACCATTTTGCTACACTTTGTTACAACCAGGTTCGTTATATTGCTTCACAGAACAGAAAGTACTGATTGCTGTTTGAGTTTATCGTTCAAACTGTTCCATCACCTATCGGTTCAAAGCTTTATCGTCTTTTAAAGGCACAGTACACGATAAAAATGGTCTCAGTGATTCCCCCACAGGATGAATTTGAGACCCCCTCGTATACCATATCTGGCGATATTAGGTCGGAAACGGCTTAGTTAGGGAGATATAAAGGCTCAAAGATTGGCCCGTGCGTATCCTTGGACGAGTTTTACCAACATTTTAGAGGCTGCACCGACCACGAGGGAACCAGTGTAGAAAGTTCTATCAACTTGTCATGACCCATTGCGACAGTGAAAGACAGTTCTGTACAGTTCTGGCTTGATGTAGTCAGCTCTTTGCGCAATTGCAATAACTCGTCCGAATACCCCTTTCATGTTATTTCCGTCATAGCAATCTCGT